GCTGGGAAGCTAAAATGATTAATTAAACATCATATTAATATAAGAGAAGTTCTAGATTAATAAATTATCATGAACAAAACAATTAGATTTTTTCAATTATTCAATAGGTGATTCTAAGAAAATATGTAAGATTGGTTTAATTTAGTTGTTATATTGACTTCACAAATAATATTATTGTTTCGAAATTAGTGTATATAAACTATTTCTAATCATATGGTGAACAGTTTTATTAAGCCTAATTTCAATTCAAATATCTTACATATATTTTATGAATGTAAAAAATTCTTAAGGCCAATTAATTTGCATAGTAGTATAATAATATGCACTTCAAATTTGAAGTGATAAGTAAAAAAAATAAAGCTGTATACAGGGATTTAACAATCGTTAATATTTCTTTTTGTTATCCCTTATGAAGACTAGCAAAATTTAAATATTAAAAATTACACAATAATTTTGAAAAGGATACTTTTAATTTCTAAATTCAAATATATAAATTCGAATTGAAGAATTGTGAGATACTGATTTTTTTTATTATTCTTATCATCCAATTTAGCGTTAACCATCTTGTTTATAATGCCTATAGAAAAAAAACATTGATATTAATGAGCTAATATATTCACTAATTTAGCTGATTTTAAAATAAATTGAATGCTAAATTCCATAAAGCACAAATACATTTTTAATCGATTTACATAAAAATCTTAATAATTTTTCTACAATATTGCATTATGTAGAATAAAGTTATCCATAAATTATTTAATAATATATTTTTCTTAAATATATAAAGATCAGTATGATGAAGGTATAATGATTACAATTTTTACAAATTGACATCTAAATTAAAAACAATAATAAATTTTGTAGATATTATCAAAAGGGAATTAATTTGCAAATTAGAAGAATATAGACCCCAATTTAGTTTCCTTATTTGTTAGGTTTTTATTGAGCAATTTTTCAATCAATGTGATTTTGCAGATATAACAAGAATAAAAAAAAGTAGAGAAAGCTTAGTCTCAGAAATAATCAGCAATTCATTATATAAAAGAAAATGAATTTACTAATTAATATTAATTTAAATGATCACCAATCAATTATTCAATCCATAATTAGGATCAAAATAATTTGCTGTTCCAAGATAAGAAAACAGAGCATGCTGTTTTTACCCACGTAGATTACTTATCTGTTATGATTTTATAAAAAGAATTCCAATACCTCTAAAAGCAGTTCATTATTTTTTAAAGGTTTAATCTGGTTTTCTTATAGTGGAATTAAAATAAACCTATTCAACTTAAAGTTATAATGAACCAATAGAATTAGAATATTTATTTTCAATTAATAAAAATGCAGCTGTGACTAAAATGATTGTTGAATTAGGAGACACAAAAGTTTATGGGATAGTTAAGGAAAAAGAGGAGGCTAGATAGGAATATGAAGAAGGAATAAAGTAGGGCAAGACAATGGCATACAGTGAGCAAGATGAAGAATTTCCTGAAATAAAAAGAGTTAAAATTGGAGCCCTTGCTCCAAAAAAAGAATTAAATATCACATTTGAATACATATAACCTTTGGATGTTTTTTTAAATAAGTTATGGAAAGTAGAAGTTTAGCCAATGGTTGATGAAAATTATTTTAGCCTTAATAAATAATAGTAGAGAACTTAAAATCTATATTTTGAAAGACTGAGCAGATACATTCAGAAATTTGTTCAGATAGATTAATTTGTATACAACTTCAAGCAAGATATTAGTGTATCCATAGATATCGGGTCTCCAATCACATATTATAAATGTCCAACTCATAAAATTTTAAGCGGAAATGCGAAAAATGAATACGCTAAGGAATAAATTAGTTAGGAAAATTTAAAGAAATTATATCTTATGTTAGAGGATACACCATCTAATTTTATTCCAACAAAATAATTTACACTATTATTTTCAAGCGATGACGTAAATCTCCCTCGGGCGTTCTTAAGTCATACTAATAATGATGCTTTATTCGCATAAAAATATTGTGCTACATTGACATTTATTCCAAAGTTTAATTAAACAACTTTGGATGATGCATATTCACAGTACTTGGAAGAATTAAATATTGCAGAGAATCAAGCAATTAATAGAGGAACTTACTTATTCTTCATCGACAGAAGTGGATCAATGTCTGGAGGCAGAATAAAGAAAGCAAAATAGTCTTTAATTTTATTTTTGAGAAGTCTACCCGATAATTGTAGGTTCAACATCATTTCATTCGGAACAATGTTTAGATCTTTATGGTCGGATTCTAAGTAATATTCCCAAGATACATTGGATGAGGCTATCAAACATGTGAATGCAATGGAGGCAAATATGCAGGGGACGGAAATATTTAAACCATTTTAAGATGTTATCTATAATAATCAATATGGCAAGTCAAAAACAACTACATTAAATATATTCTTGCTTACAGATGGAGAAGTTGATGTTTTCCCAATAATAGATTTGGTAAAGAGGAACAATAAAGCAGAAACTAGAGTATACACTTTAGGAATTGGAGAAGGATGCAGCCAATATTTAATTAAGAATTTGGCGGATGTAGGAAATGGCAAATTTTAATTTGTAGCAGACGACGAGGATATAAATGCCAAAGTTATTGATTTGTTAGAAGATTCAATGACTCCTTATTTGCAAGGGTTTAACCTTGAATCAAATATTTCAAATATTGCTCAAATAATTCCAAATCCAGAATCAATTGTGTGTTTAAAGAAGAACTAAGAATTAACAATTTAAGTGTTATTTTCCCTTGAGCAGGTTACTGATAATTTACAGCTAACTTTAAGTTGCTTTGATCCGTAAGAATAAAAACCAATTAAATATTCAGTTTCATTAAATATAAATAATTCTTAAGAAAATGAATATTTTCATAAATTGGCTTCGCACAAATTTATCACATATTATGAAAACAGTCTAAACTATGGCGAAAATCACGTTAATTTTATCAAAATCAACAAGGATACAATAGATGATTAGGATATCATCAACTCATCAGTAACACATTAGATATTAAGTTCTAAAACTGCATTTGTATGTGAAGTCTGTGACTTAGAAGATCAATTCAAATAGTAGATGAAATAAAAAGTATAAATCACATAAATTAAACAAAACTAATCGGTAGATTAACAGTTGATTGGTCTCCAAAGATTGGTACCTTGCTCATCAAATTTATATCGTCCAACAAGCTCTAAGGGATGTAGATAGATGTAATCTCAGCTTTCTTCATAACCCTAAATTTAGTATAGGCAAAAATGTTAAGAGGAGAAAAATCCTATTTAAATTTAATTCCAAAATGGCTGCTGATTTAAGAACAAGAAGATATGAAAAGGATGATAAACTGAATAGTTTATAGAAGGAGTGCAATTAAGAAATGTCCTATAAATCAAAGAAATAGACACAAAATCTGATGGAAGAACAAAGAGCATTTCCAGTGAGAAATTAAAGAGAAGAAGAAAATTGTTAAATTGATTAAATTTAATTAATTCTAGGGTTAGATTAAAAAAATGGAATATGACTAGTTGATTTCTTATGCCAAAGCTGACGGTGGATTCTTATTTGATGAATAAGTTGAAAAGCAAATAAATTTTGAAGGGTGGAAGAATGAGGAAAGCTACCCATAGAATATCTGGCTTACTTTACTTGCTTTACTCTATTTGGATCAATATTGTTCTTAAAATAGAAAGTCATGGCAACTAGTGTATTAAAAGGGAATATAATTCCTATAGAGAAATGGAGTTTCTTATAAGTAGTTGAAGGAATAATTACTAAAGAATATTAAACAACAAATTTGATTTAACATTTTGTGTCATAAATTTCAATCATATTTATTAATTTATTTAATGAATTTAAGATTAATGCTAAGTATAGCGTCTAGGGTGATTGGTGCACATAAACCTCTCACTTGGATGCAATACCCATAACTGCATTTGTATACTAATTTTTTGAGTATGGGTTTCACTAAATCCCATATTGCCTGAAACCTCAATATTAACAATCAGCACTTTTAGAAGAAAGCCTGCCAAGCTCAAAAAGGCCAAAAGAAAGCAAAGAAGAAAGAAAATCAAACGAATGAATAAAGCCAATAGAGAAAGACGTAATTATTGAGTAATTATTAAACACATATAAATATTATTGTACTTATATCTAAATATAAATTTATCAAATTTCTAGACGCTTTTCACTTACATATATACCATCCAAGAATTGTCTGATATCCTTATTTTTAACAGCACAAGCTTAATGAATAAGTGCACAGGTCAGTGAAACATTATTCAAATCATTACCTTAGAGTGTTAGGACATCTAAAGAAACTATATGAATATTAAATACTCTTTTCTTCCTATTCATTTCTTGTGATTGTGACTCCTGGAAGGCATTTAATTGTTCTGATGATCTTTTCACCAAGGAAATTCTTAATTTCAATACCAAAACCTTTATCTAAGAGATTGATAATGATTGGAAAGTGAGCGTATGCCAACACCATCTTGAATTTATAACCAGTGGTCACACCTCTGATCATATTTTTGATTGAAGAGGCAACTGAATTAACTTGGCATCTCTATTTTCTATATGATTGCCACATTCTAACGCTGACTCTAGATTTGGAAGAATTGGTTTTCTTATTTACCTTCTTTTACACTTAGATATCTAAAGCAGCATGTCTAAAATTTTTGGTCAATTCACCTCTTGGTCCTAATATTTCTTAATATTCACTAATACCTTTTACTTTGACTTATTTGGATTTGGTTGTAATTTCAATCTTCTCAGGGATGGGAACATGCTCCTCAGTCAGAATGTATTTCATATCTTTTAATTCTTTTAATTAAATTTTTGAAGTCTCAACCCTTAATATTAAAAATTATGATCATTATAAAATATAAGTATTATATCAGTTTATCATGTAGGTTCTTACCATTTATCTTGAAAAAGCATTTACTATAGCTCACTCCTAAAAAGAAATTAAATATTACGCCATTTTCATTAACTCAATAAACAACTCTAATAAACAATTCATAATAATATTTAAGTTATTGAGAAAGTTTCAATTTTATGTTTTATTCTTAAGCATATTGATCTTATTACAAAAAAAAATGAATGTTATTTTGATTTTTTGATTTCATTGTTTCTTTGAAAAAAATATTTAAATTTATTAATTTAATAATTCTTATGAAATCTTGAATTTGCCATCTGAATTTGGCATTTATCTATGCTTGATTTTGTTAAGGATTAAGATGCGATGATAGCTTAATTGAATATTGTTGGCTAAACAGTATTATCTTAATTCTAAATAAATAAAAATATCAACAAAATAATTAAATATTTTAAGATGTAAAAACAAAGCCTCTTTTTTAGCATCCTAATATGTGACATTGATCTATTAATATCGAAAATACTTAAATTTTTGCATCTATATCTGCCTAATCTACATAAAATATTTTATTGGTCATTACTCGATATAAATATGTATTAATTAACTTTAATTAATGTAGTTTAAGTACTTTCTTTCTACATTTTACACTAAATAACCAATTTTTATCTATTTTATACTTCTGTAGAGTTTATCATTAAAGCAAATCTTATTACAGTTTTTAATGCTTTGTAATTCAACAAATGTATGTCTAAAGGTGTTGACGATAAACTAGCACTATCATGATTTTACTATAAAGAGGAGAAAAATTTGAGAAAATGGTTTCCTAATAACCATTTTAGATAATTTTTATAGTTATAATATAAATAAAAGAAAATAGAAAAAATAATGGGAAAAAATCGAAAAAAGAATGGAGTTATTAGAAAATTCTTTTAACGCTAATGGAACTATAGCACAGTTGTTATCACTTTCAATTTAGTCTTATCGTTATATTTAATGATCATTATTGAAAAATAATATTATTTAACTTTTGATTAAGATGAAAAAATAAGATAGGAAATTCATGAATCAGTTAAACAGAATTGCAAACACTAATTAGAATCAATGCTTAAATAATAGGAAACAAATTAATTCAATTACCCTTAAGGGTACTCAACCCTATAAAAAAATGATATATTGACTAGTAGTTTATATGTTTAAAAAAATAAATATGATGAATAAACAAGTTAAACCAATGAAACATCATTAAATGATAAAATAATAAAAAATGACTCATAAAAACACAAAGATAATAATAAATTGAAGAAAGAGGAAGAAAATGAAAAAATAAAAATGAATAAAATTAATCTCTCATCTATTTACAGCAAAATCTCACCAGAAAACCTAGCTGGGAAAATACATAAAAATCTTTCAACTGCAAACTTTATTTCCTTCTAACTTATTTATAATGATAGGGTAGAAAAATCTTTAAATCAAAAAATATTTGAAAAAATATTTGAGAAAATATATACTTTCGGAGAGGATCCTTTAGTTTGTTTAGCTGCTGAAAAATAAAATACAATAGTTTTAGTTGGGTGTGATATCTCTACTCAGGTTTTTTAAGATACAAAAAATGTATATCTGGCTTAGTGTTAAAACAATAAAGAAATATGTTGGTATTATTATTAAGGTCGAGCGTTTGGTTTTTCTCCAAATAAAGAAGTTGATCTGACTTATTGTGATAAATTCAATCCTTTGGATGAAAACAGATTATGTATATCACTTAATGAGAAAGACAAAGAAAGAAGAATTGGAATATTGAATCGATCAGAATAAATAAGTGGATTTAACTTATAGATATATATTCTTAATATATGATATAATAATTTATATGTTTACATTAATAGTTATTGAGAATTTTTCAAATTTAATTTTAGTTCGAGGAATAAATAATACATTATTCAATTTTCAAAAATTCAATTGTTATTATGTTTTTGTAAGACTTTTTGTGAACATCAAATTTAATAGAAATATCAATTGATCTAATTTTATATTTATAATGAATTTGAATTGAGTAGAACAATCCATAATAAATTTTTCTGAATTTTTTTAT